AGCCGGAGCGAGGGAGCCCACGGCGCCGTGACCGACCGACAGCGAGTTTGCACCACCGGCCCCCGATCCACAGCCACCACTCCCCCCGACGCACCGCCATCTAGCAATGCCGCCGACCCGACCGCCCCCACCATCAGTCGCCTCGTCCAGCGACGGAGCATCCCCGTGCACCTCCCCGCCGTCGGGCGGCGGAGCCTCCCCGCGCGCTTCCCCGCCTCCGGGCGCCGGAGCCTCCCCGCACGCATCCCTCCGCCTGGTGCAGGAGCTTCCCCGCGCGCCTACCCGCCGCCGGGCGTCGGAGATTCGCCTGGGCCATGATCCACGCCTCCAGCCTCCACCCCTCGACGGACCTCGTCGACAGAGCTCCACCACAAGCACGGTCGTCTCCCCAACAACATTGGCTCCGCCTTCCAATTGCCAATACGCCGCCAACGAAACGAAGATGGAGTCACATCCAACAAGATGCAGGTGATGAATCCTTCCCACACAAATTACTAGCAACACAAGTTTTTGAGATCTGGGTTTGAATGAAGATATGTACCACGTTTCTGTCAATTTATTAGTTCATCAGTTTATCTGTGCTGCTATGCTCTGCCTACATGTTACACTATTAGGGTCATGAGTACAAAATTGTGTGTTGCATCAGTACATTGCAAATGCTAGCATCAGTTCATTGACACCCCTGACATTTTATGCACGATTAGGATGTCGAGCTTACTGTCAGTGCATCTAATATGCATTGCGTCAGTTCGAGTTAAAATAAAAAATTAAACATATGCGTCAGTCCAGGTATAGTGACAAGGTTCAGCTACCGCTGAGATTTGTATGTTGTTATTCCTAAGAGTACAAGTCATGTAATTGCGTCAGTTCGAACGAGTAACAAAACTGTTACCAAAAAAAACTGCTACACAAATAAGTTCAGTGATACCTAAGCTAGCAGTACTTGTAATGTATATGCATTGATGCACGATTAGGATGTCGAGCTTACTGTCAGTGCATCTAATATTCTATCTTCAGTACAAGTTATAAAAAAATTAAACATCAACGTCAGTCCAGGTAGATAGTGACAAGAGAGTGCCATAGTTACACAGTAAGTTCAATGATACATAAACTAGGAGTACTTCTAGTGTAGTTGCATGAGTTACAGAAGTACAAAGGAGAAGTCATGCATGAGTTTAATGTCCAGTTTACAAAAACAGTGCTAAAAAACAAGCATCAGTACATCCATGTTTTGAACATGAACGTTCATCAGTTCGACTGAAAACGAAACCATATTAATCACAAAAAAATTTGAATGTTGTTTGCAGAAGCATGCAAGGCGGCGCACGCAGCAAGCATTTGATGAGCAAAACAGATATGGGGCACCACCTGATTGGGTAACGCCAGAAATACCGACTGGATATTTCAATAGTACAGGCAGATTTGAAGATACACCGCAATCATCAGAAGCACGGACAGGTCCTTCTATACAGCAAACAGCAATGTCTGGGAATGCAAACTTTGCCGCTGCTGGGTTGCAACTAGGCCAACAATATCACCAACAACAAACGTTTTCCTTCCCCAGCGAATGCAAAAAGGCAAGGACAGGAAGCCGTGGATGGGTTGCAAGAAGGCTTCCACCAGTCGCTCCGTCAACATCAATCATCCGTGCTGCAAAAGCAGTTGCGACGGGAAGACCAGGGCAAAAAGACAAAAAAAATGGCCACTCTAGCAGGTTCAAAAGTACAAGATATGAGTCATATAGACAGGACCAACATCACAATGAATCTGAGTAGAAACAGTCGTACAACGAGAGACGGAGATCTTCGTCATCGTTGCTCCCTCCAAGAGATGCATTGCTGCATGTGCCAAGGGTGACACCACCGGCCCCCATAAACCAGGGAGAACAACAAACACCAGAGGCAGCACAGAGCTATACACATGTAAGTATCCATACAAGAAAAAAATTACAAAGCACAGTCCATACCATGGTGCTATGACCACCCCATCTAACATTTTTGTTTGATCACTGTTGTGTGCAGCCACCTAACATTGAAGCTTATGTTCTGCCAAGGCTAGAGATGAGGTTTGAAACGTTCGAAGAAAGTAAGAACTTCTACAACGTATATGCGAAGCACGCTGGTTTTGCTGTCAAGGAAGGCCCCAAGTTTAAGACAAGAGCCTACCTTTATTGCACGTGCCATGGAGTTTATGAATCAAAGGTGTCTGAAGCAAATAGACAGCGTAACAAGACGACAGCCAGAACTAACTGCAGGGCTAAAATGAGGCTGAAGAAGGAAAAGGATGGAACATTTGTCGTAAAAGAGATAGTCTTGGAACACAACCACAGGCTACAGCTCACCGCAGAAATGCTTGTCTTCTTGCACTCCCACAAAAACTTTGACAAAACAATCTTGGAGTACGTCAAGTACCTGCAGTTCAAAGGCATTCAACACGCGCAAATCATGAGCATTCTGGGCGGTGATGACCCTGGTAGCTACTTCCTCGAAATGAACGCCAAAGACCTGATTAACCTGTAAGTACAATATTGTTCTCCTCCCATAAACCGCCTACATATTTTTTTCCTCTGTCAGTACAAACATATCATGCAACGCATGACCTGACGCCAGTTCAACATGCATTTTTGAATGATCTTTTTATATGCAGGAAAGCAAAGAATTCAAGCATGGATGATGTGGACGATGTCCTAAAGATTGTCAACTTCCTTAGGGAGATGAAAGCTATAAACAAAGAATTCTTCTGTGACATGCAGCTCGATGAGTCCGATAGAGTTAAGAACATATTCTGAGTGAACGCAAGCTGCCGAGGGGCGTATCAGGACTTCGGGGACTGCGTAGCATTTCAAACAACATATAAGACCAACAAGTACCATATGCCACTTGGCGTGTTTGTCGGAACTAACAACCACTTACAGACTGCATTCTTTGGTTTTGCCCTGATAAGAGATGAGGATGCAGATTCATTCAAGTGGCTGTTTGAGACATTTTTAAGGTGCATGAGAAGGAAGGCTCCTACATGCATCCTCACAGGTACACCCGCTAAACCCACCCCAAACCACCACCCCCCTTCCAAAAAAGAAAAGGAAAGTAACACAATAAAAATGTTGTGTCAGTTCTATTGGTATATATGCACAACCATCTGCTGACCACTCCGAGTCTATTTTCTCATTACCAGACCAGTGCCCGGCAATGGCTTTGGCGATCGCAGATGTTTTCAAGAACACATTACATAAGCTATGCCGCTGGCACATTATGAAGAAGTACAGGGAACACCTCGCGTACCTGTATTTCCTGCACGACGACTTTAAGGATGAATTCACATCAATTCTCAACTGGCCCCTCATGCCAACTGAGTTTGAGGATGCCTGGAAAAGACTGATGGATAAGTACAACCTCCACGATGATGCAACAATGGTGGGCATGTGGAATGAGTGTGAGAAATGGATATCAGCCTACTTCAAAGAAATTTTCTGCGCCAAAATGACATCGACACAGCGAAGTGAGAGCATGAACTATGTGCTCAAGAAGAACTACGTAAATGAGAGACATAACCTACACCGGTTTGTCAGCCAGGTAAACTCCTGCGTCAAAACCAGGAGGCAGACAGAGAACCAGGAGACAATGGGTAACCGGGTATAGCTCTATCACTTGTCGTAAGACAAATAATTACATGCTTACTAAAGTAAAAACATTATTAGAAGTTTTTCCTGCGAGAAAACTAACAATTTGGTCATCATTCTTGCATCTGCAGAAGGAACAAAACACGCTGACCTTCTATGGGTTTGACACCCAGATGGCAAAGCTGTACACACGAGCTGTGTACAGCGAGATCAGAGATAGGCTAAAGCTGAGCACTCTCTTCACGGCGACAGAGACGGAAGAGCCCACAAAGTACCTAGTGCGCTACAACCACCCGCAAAAACTCTCTGTGTGGGCTCAGCATGCGTTCCAGGTGGTTGCAGACCCCGTGGGAGAAACATACGAGTGCGAGTGCAGGCTATGGGACCACACAGGTAAGGACTACAAAAAAGATGTTACATATTGTACTACTTTTTTTGCAAAGTTTTTGTTCGAAGGAAATAACAAAAAACATGCACCTCTTCCAAAAAAATACAGGTCTTTTCTGCGTCCATGTCCTGTGCATGATGCAGACAATTAAGGCTGAAAGTGTTCCAGAGAAATACATACTCAGGAGATACACCAAACGCCCGAACATCCAGCCAACATTTGACAGAAATGACTTGAGGACAGTAGCGTCAAACAAGGCATCCCAATACTGCATTGAAAGCTCACTGCTGACGCTGAACATGAGGGTGCACAGAAAAATCTTGAGAAGCCAAGAGCAAATGGCAAGGACGCGAGTCGTCATGGACAGACTTGAACAAGAACTCGACGCCATGCATTCTGCTGAAAATGGAGGTGTCGCGGACAATGAAGCCATTGAGCAGGATATTGCTACAATGTTATCCGAGATGAACCATATGGGAGCTATTGACCCGTTTGACAACGAGGAAGATGAGCAGCAGCAACCGAAGATTGCCCGTGTGCACACTCAAGAGCAACGACAAACTCATATGCGAGATCATGAGCTCGATGGTGCTGTAGGCGAACGACATGACAATAGCACATCCTACCAGCAGCAGCAGGAAAAGGTGATTAAACCCCCAATATTCTCAAACACAAAAGGGAGGAAGAGTAAGACGCAAGCAGCGAAAGCTGCTAAAGCAGCAGCCAAAAAGCCACCACGCCCCATCAAGCGCGTGGAATTTGGCCCGGATGGCAAACCCCTCGGGGTAAGGGCATGCGGATTCTGCAACATCGTGAGCAACCATAACTACCGCACATGCCCACTCCGCACAGACGCCACTGTCAACAAGAACAAGCAGATTGGAGCGACCCAGCTTTCTACCAATGGAGACAACACACGTAACAGCTACACTTGCCGCAAGTGTGGCGGAACTGACGGGCATAATGCCCGCACGTGCAAAGTGGGCAAGGAGGTCAGTGGAGCTGAACATGAACAGGGCAACGTAAAGAGTTCCAAGCAATCAAATGAAGACGACAAAGAAGAAGAGTTTGATGACAATGACGGCCAATCAGACGAAGACAATGAAGACGATGAAGAAACTGAAACTGATGATGAAGTTGCCAAGGCTCAACCTGGAAAGAGCGCCGGCAAGACACAACATTCGGGGACAGTTAGGAGAAGCTCAAGACTGAACAATACATAGTGGTTTTCCTGCTGCGTCAACTAAAAAATAACCTTGTAGTCTCAGTTGCATCAGTACACAATGAGGAAGCATTTCACAAAACACTGTTGTTACCAAAACTTATTTAGCTTTATCGTCGATTTCTCTATCATCACTAAAGTTATTTTTTAGTTTCTGATTTGTGCCCGCTGAAGCAGTGACATTATTATGTTAACCATTTGATAATCATTTTGAATGCAGTCACGAAATACGTTTGAAAAAACTTATCTGGATATATCCGACGCAAAACGCTATTGTGAACCAGTAACTCAGGGAAAAAATATGTTAAGGAAAATTTTAAACTCTTGTAGCACATCAGTACTGATAACTCTCATTCGTCAGTACAAGGCAGAGTACACATCAGTGCTGATATAATTTCTGATTTGTGCCCGCTAAAGGAGTGACATTATTATTTACACCATTTGATAATCCTTTTGAATGCAGTCAAAAATAAAATTGAAAAAACTTATCTTGATATATCTGACGCAAAACGCTACTGTGAACCAGTAACCCAGCAAAAAAATGTCAATGAAAAATTTAAACTCTTGTATTACATCAGTACTGATAACTCTTTGTCGGCAGTACAAAAGGCATAGTAATAACAAACACACCAGTGAGCGACTGAAAAAAAATCAGTTTGAAAAAACAAAGCTATGCCTTCTCCTGCCAGTCCCAATTCAGAAAGACTATCAGTACATAAAAATAATTACCTCAAGCAAAATGCAAATATAATACATCCTGTACTGGTGAAAATCTAATTTATCTGTAAAAAATACTCACAAGTTATCTTGATATAAACAATCCTTAAAAAATACGAAAATTGTTTTAAAAAAACATTAGCACCACACATAGTCTCGCTGGTAATTGGTACGTTCAATCACACTTCAATCACCTGTCCGAGTACGACAGTAGAGGAGTTCAGACCTCCATCAACACCGATGCTGACACGTTCAAGTGGGATAAGCAGCTGATAAGTACAGCTTGACTATTCGAATTGGTGCCACAGTAAAATGACATCATCACCACCGCAGAGACGCGCAAGTGGGATTTTGTAGGTCATAAGTACAGCTTGACAAGACTAGTCAGTTCAACAGTAAAAACCATTTAAATTGGACGGTTAGTTCTTCGACGCCGCCACCCGCGCCACCCACTGGGAAGTTGCCACGAGCACTGCAAACGGCGACACCCACGACCACTACACACATGCCCCCGACGAACCGCCTCCCACACACCACCGTCGGCGCACTGAAAAATACCCCATTGTATTCCATCTCTCCCTCGTTCCCACAAACAAAGCTTGTCGCTTCCATTTCCACTGCACACAAACCTCCAGCATCTCTCTCCAAAGCCCAAAGTCGCCGGACGAAGGCCATGGCGGAGGAACCGTCCGCCAAGCGTCATCATGCCGAGACGTCGGACAAGAGGAGCAACCTCGTCGACATTAAAGTCCCCGGCGAGAAGCGCAACTACACCAGAACGCTCGAAGGGGTTGAGCTCCATGACAAGGAGACACTGGAGATCGTCTTCACCAGCGAACCAGACAAGACCGACGAGGTGATCTCCAGGATGTGGATGAAGCTTGGTGGTAGGTTTCGTAGGATCGTCGGCGTTGGTGTGCACTACACCAACGAAGATGAACCTCCCCGGATGGCGGCAGTCCTGCAGTTGTGCGTCGACGAACTCTGCTTGGTCTACCACATCGCCGCGGCCACAAAATGGTGAGCAATCCTACTCATTTGCCCTGCATATGGTTTGACTGTTTTATTAGTACTGTAGTTTATGAAGTTGATACACACCATTTTGTGAAGATTGCTACAATATATGGTTTATGAAGTTTATTTTCTTCACTCATTTGCCCTGCATATTAAATTCTGAAGTTGATCGACTGGTGTAGTTTATGAAGTTGATAAAATAGAGTAGTCTATGTACTTGATGTATTAAAAAAGATGTTTCTGAACTTGATGTAGTGAAGTATTTTTTGAATTTGATGTAATGTTATTTTCGTAAGAAAATAAACTAAGGACTTGGTGAAGCACTGGTTCTGTGTTATCCTATTCCAACAAAAGTAGACTAAACTAGTACCAATGCAGAACATACAACATTGACTGAAACTATGTACAATCCAAGAAGAATAATAACATGATGTACTTAATTTAATTTCAGAACTTTCTTTACTAGTTTTTGAAGTACATTCATCCATTGTTTATCCTACATAAACAACTACTTCATGGATTCATCACTTGTAAAACAAAACAAAAATGGATAATTCAAACATCAAAGTAATGCTAATATTCAAAATGTCTCTACCGTTGCAGGCCCAAGCGCCTGACCGACATGCTGCAGCATGACAAGTTGTTCACATTTTCCGGTTTCAGCATTGAAACCGACAAAGAGAAGCTGAAGTTGTCCGGTATGGAGATCAACCCCAAAAAGTTCATCGACATTCAGCGCAAGTGGAGAGTTCCATACACCGGAAAAGAGTACGACTCCTTGACTGATGTTGCAGCCAACGCCATCCACCCATTCTACAAAGGCATGAAGAACAAGATCAACGCGTAGGAAGACTACAAACTGCGGGGGACAAGCGAGCTGCCAGACAACCTCATCGAGTACGCAGGACTGGATTCGTACGCCACATACAAGTCATGGTTCATGATCGACTACGTCACAGATGGTTCGGAATTTGCGAAAGAGCGGGAGGCTAGCAACTTCTACAGCCACCCCTATTGCCCCTTTTAGGGATGAAGATACATCAGAGCCTGCCTTCATTTTACTTCCACTTGTGCTTGCCTTTTATCTTGTTGTTTCAAATTAGAAGTTTGCTCTTGTTGGGTTGAACCAGTATGATTATGTCGTGCTTGTCATGTTTGAACAAGTTTAGTTATGTCATCAAGTACAATGTTTTGCTTATCTCATTATATAAGTTTGGTTTGGTAGCTTCGTATGTTGTTAATCCATCATTTCAAAATTGAAAAAGTAGCTTCTGAATGGAACGTTGTCGTTGCTCTAAAGTACTAGTTATGATGCAACTAATCACACAACGTTGTTCCATGTCAGCACAACTCAGTACACTTGATCGGACATTGCATACTTACTACAAATAAAAAGTACAAAGAAGCATCAGTCCATAAGCGCTACTATGAATGCACTATCAGTACAACTCACTCTACACGCAAGTATCATAGTTCTGAAAATGACACTAGAAGACACTTGAGAATAATCACAAAAACAAACACAAAAAAGAAGGCAAAAAACTCAAATAAAAAAAGATTACGCTCACACAAAACTGACAAGAACTAGAACAAAAAGTATCAGTCCAAGTTACTGGAGGAGTTAAGTACTAGATTCAAACAAACAAAAAAGTTGACCGCCCAAGGTCAGGCGCAGGCCCTGACAATGCTAGATACTTGAACTCGAGCCCGTGGGCGAATCCCTAGTAATCCGCACAACACAGGACCCGCCGACCAGGGCCCACAGGTCAAGAGAGAGAGCGAGCGTCGTGTATAAGCGCTCATGTAAGTGTTCAGAGGAGTTCGACTGGTGAGCGTCGGCTGCACTTATAAACAGGTCCGGAGCCCCCTCGACTAGCGAGGTGGGACTAAACCCAGAGCGCACGCGCACGACGCACTGCACAGGTGCGCGGACGAGCTATCTGGGCCGGAAAACGGCCCAATAGCCTACATCGTCAGCAAAACACCCCACCAAAAATAACCCCAGGTATACAAACCAGATGGCGGGACAAAAGAAATATAAACCACAAGAAAAATGTTTGTCAATTAACCTCTACAAGAAAAAAGGAAAAAAATATGATACAAAAACAATGAACCTCTTAAAAGAACACAACTTAATAGCCTTTCTGTTAAATGTACATAATTTAAAAAACAGAATTAAATATTACTTTCAAGTTCAACTACTAAAACTAAAAAAGTTCAAAACATATAATGTTTGTCAATTATGCTAAAATTCTTATTTATATAAAAACTAACAAGTTCAACTACTAAAGCTCAAAAAGTTCAAACATATAATGTTTGACAACTATGCTAAAATTCTTATTTATATAAAAACTGACAAGTTCAACTACTAAAAAACTAAAAGTTCAAACATATAATGTTTGTCGATTATGCTAAAATTCCTATTTATATAAAATCTGACAAGTTCAACTACTAAAATTCAAAAAGTTCAAATAGAATTTATTTGTCAATTCTGCTAAATCTATTATCTATATATAATCTGTCCACACCACAACGAACGATCTAGTCGTAAAATAATCTCAAACCCCCACCGCCAACCTAAGTTATAAAAAAATCAGTTCAAACATACATACAACATCAGTACTAAAAATAGCAGGATCCACTCGCACCACTCTGACATCAAATTTCAAAACCGTGCGCTGTTTGAAATTACAATTCAGTTACACAGTACTAAAACATAAGTACACTAAATATGAGAATACGAAAACTATAAAGACCTAACTTAGGTTGGTACAGATGAAAATAAAATAAGTACAATTTATGAGCAACAACTCCCAGGGCATTGAAAAAATGTTTTGGCATACACTAGTGTATAAAGGCTTTAATAGAAAAACAATACTTAAATATCCACACAAAAAACATCACAGATCCATAAGTATAGCTTGACTATACGAATTGGTGCCACAGTAAAATGCCATCATCACCA